TCTCTCTCTCTCTCTCTCTCTCTCTCTCTCTCTCTCTCTCTCTCTCTTTTTGAGAGAGAGAGATTTTTGCTATAGGGCCTGAATATTTGCCGGACCGACAGAGAGACAGAAAGTGAGAAATCACCCCCGGGGGTATAGCCATGCCGCAATCCCTTCTCCTCCATCCTCCTCTTGGCCTCTTGAGCACACACTCATGTCTGGCATGAGTTTTTTAAGCTGTGGGGTCCAGAACATGAACCACGGCGAACTATGTGGGAGGCCAGCAATGAAACCATTACACCATCTGTTGGTCCCCCAAGGTTTCCTCTCTAGAGAAAGCTGCTTTCTTCAAATTCTACACATGTTATTATAAGGATGAGAACTGATATCCAAGCCAAGACAAGTAGGAACATAAAAACAGTGAGCAATCAGCCAAATGGCAGGCCACCCTACGTGCACAGAGCGATAATCAGACACACTACATAACAACCAGGCTTCTTATGCTTAATAAACATGATCATTTAGTAGCATAGAAACGCAGCAAAGGGTGGTGGTTAAGGAACTGGACTCCCACATAACTGCCTGGGGTTCAAGTCCCAGATTTGGCAGCCTGAAAAGCACCCTGAGCACAAGTGTGTGCACGTACCAAATCCCAGGAGAATGGAACAGAAGGGATTGTGGAGTGGGCATCTCCCCTGGAGGGTGATTTCTCATTTTCCCTGTCTCTGTCTTTCTCTGACAAGTTCATGTGCCTTATGGAGAAAACCTTAAAGAAGAAAAAAAGAAAAAAACAGAAAAAGAAACACGGTGAAGAACCCCGGTGAAAAAAAGACTGGGTATGGGAACCAGCAGTTAGCATAATGGCTATGTCGCTGGACTCCCACGTAGTCGACTGCGGTTCACGTCCTGGACCCGGTGGCTTAAAACTCACGCCGGGTGCGTGTGTGTGCGTGCCCAAGATCCCAAGAGGAGAATGGAGGAGAAGGGATTGTGGCGTAACCATCCCCCCTGGGGGGTGATTTCTCGCTTTCTGTCTCTGTGTCTCTCTCTGTCTGGCGAGCGCACGCGCCCTATAGCGAAAAACCTCTTAAAAAAACAAACAAAAAAAAAAGACTGGGTATAATGAAAGATTGGAATCAAAGCCAGGGTGGGGAGAGTGTAGTTCTGGAACCAGCAGGTGGCATAACGGTTAGGTCGCTGCATTCCCATATAGTCAACTGCAGTTTGAGTCCCAGGCCAGCAGCTTAAAACACGCAGGGTGTGTGTGCATGCATACTCAAAATCCTAAGAGGAGAACAGAGGAGAAGGGATTGTAGAGTGGCTATTCCCCCCCGGGGGTGTGGGACTGATTTCTCTTTCTGTCTCTGTTTCCCTCTATCTCTCCACCGAATGCATGTGCTCTGTAACAAAAACTTTTAAATAAAAAAGTGTGGCAGGGACCAGCACTTGGCGTAATGGCTATGTCGCTGGACTCCCATGTAGTCGACAGCAGTTCTAGTCTTAGACCCGGTAGCTTAAACTCATGCTGGAGGTGTGTGCGTGCGTGCCCAAGATCCTGAGAGGAGAATGGAGGAGAAGGGATTGCAGCGTGGCTATCCCCCCCTTGGGGGGGTGATTTCTCGTTTCTGTCTCTCTGTCTCCCTCTGTCTTTCTAGCAATCACACGCACCCTATAGCAAACACCTGTCCAGAAAAAAATTAATAAATAAAAATGTGTTGACACTCTGGGTGTGGCTCTATGAACCAGAGCCTCCAATCTGCCTGCCCCTTACATGTGTCCTAAATCCTGAGCCCTCTTCTGCTCGGACACATCCCATGGCTCCCTATTGCCCACAGGATAAAGTCTCTGCTTGGGCTCTAGGAGAACCTTCCATCAACTTGGGGTTAAGCAGGAAGGGTCTTGGGCTCAGCGACCCCAGCCCCGCCTGCACCCACCGCGCCCATCCCTGGATCCCCGCCGTCCGCAGCGCCCCCCGCTGGCCCTCGG